GTATGTTAAAATCAAAATCCTTAACAGCAGGTGGTAAAAGTATCAAAATATTTTTTACTCAAGCTACTGTTAGGTATCACGATTGCTTCACTTCATTTATTTATGAACTGATGTATGAATAAAAGTCCTTCCGTTGAACAGAAAAATAAAGGAAATCGTGATTTGCATGTGCATGAGAGCAGTTTTTCCAGACAACACAATTTTTTTCTTCAACAAGCAATAAAACGGAATTAAAATGGTTTTTTAGTAAAAAGGAATGAAAATGAATAATTAACTCATAGTTCATGTGCTCTGCCAAGTATTTCTACCTTTCCCTAAAGTGGTTTTTTAGAGGGATTATTTGAAGTGCCACTTAAAACCAAACAGATCGCTTTCTCTACTATTTCAGTGTTTTCAGTGACGTACACTTCATGTTTTCGATTTTAGTAGAATAAATTTTGATGGATTTTATTCTGTTTGTTCAAGAAGATTAAATTGAACTAGAATCCTGAAATTTGTTAAGTGTGTAAATTCGATCTATTTACGGTTCATTTGTAAGCATCTTAAGTGGGTTACTAATGAACGAGGATTAACTTAACAGAATCGTTGATACAACGTTCACTGATACTAAACACTCTTTAGTTACATAATAAATAACAGTTAATGTAGTTAGTTATACAACGGTAAAATTTGTCGTGTGAAAGGAAAAGGGGTTTAAAGATTTTGAATCAGTGTATTTTCGTTTGAATAAATACTCTGATTATCGGAAATACATACAACGAGATTGTAAATGCGTAGAAAAGTATTTTCACGTGCAACTGTACACTAATTCCATAGTTCATCAACCAGAATTCAAGTTGTTTAAACATTCACTGTCTATTATTAGTAGAAAAATGCACTCAGTTTTCATCACTTTGAAAGACTGCCACTACTTGGCTTATGTCACTGTAAGCATCGTCTGCATGACACTATATTGCCTACTACTGACTAACTATAGGATGAAAGTGCCTGGAGTTCTGGTGAGAAGTCGATAACCATGGGGTCCACCGGGTCATATGTGAGGACAAACACTCTCCTATAACACTGACTGGCGATGGCGGCATATGTGGGGAATTGTCAAAGTTTAGAATTCATGGACTATTGAATTATTTCCTAGAGTCTGAATAATCAATGAGTTCGCCTCTTGGGAAGTTCGAAGAGGACTTCCACTGAGAGGTGCTAATTCAGGACAGAAGAGCTGCCGTAGTTTTCAGTGGTTTTCTAACTAGTATCATTTCCTGATCTAACTTGAAACGAATCAAATCTCTACAAACCAACGCTTGAATACTGCATACTGTACTGGTTCTAAATTTCTCTATTGATCATTGTGTCGGACGTACGCTTCCTTACTGTGACATTATTTTCCTCAGTTACCCGTTTGAGGCAGAGAAATCCATTGGTAAACTGTTAAACTTTTATTCGTAATCGATGAAATTATGTAAATAATTATCAGTCATCGTAGCAGTGATAATCTCACCTAATTTACAAGCTCGCTAGTTTTCTAGCTGGTCTCAAGACTGGTGAAAGAGGGAGGGTTTGGCATGGGCTAGCAACCCTACCACGGAGAAAACAGACAAACTGGTATAGACACTTCAATGCACAAGAAAAATAATAAAGATTCAAAAATTATAAAACACAAACGTGTTTTCGCTGAAATCGGAGAGGTGAAATGACTGGTGAAAGCTTTCGGAATGCGAGTTAGCCGATGCTTTTTCTCTCTGTCGATGAAAGCAAGAATAGGAATGGGGACATGGAATGCTCGTACGATGTACGAAGCTGGGAAGGCTACCCAAGAAGCCAAAGAAATGAGAAGATATGGCATGGAAGTGCTAGGAATCTGCGAGAGCAGGTGGAATGGATGTCGATTATCAAAACTGTCAACTAGAGGGGCAGTAATCTACTCCGGTCTGGTGACCCAGGCGACAATCACGAGCATACTGAGGCAGTAAGTGGCTATCATGATGTCGCCAGTGACAGCCAAACGTCTAATGCAGTGGGAACGAATTTCATCCAGGATAATGACTGCAAGATTCAACTCAGGAGGAAGGAAGGAAGGAGGGTCACAGTCATCCAATGGTAGAAACAACTTGGAACAAGACAAAAAGGACAATTTGTATAAACAACTGCAAACAGTGATGGACAACATCCAAAATGGTGATATCGAAATCCTCATGGGCGATATGAATGCCAGATAAACTGGGAGCAGATAAAACAGGCAGAGAACTCATTATGGTTCGAGAGGCTCTTGGAGAAGTGAATAAGAATGGAGAACCCTTCGTAAACTTCTGTGCCTTCAAAGATTTAGTCATTGGAGCTAGCGTGTACAAGCACAGGGATATACACAAAACAACGTGGATCTCATCTGACAGACACACCACAAACCAAACAGATTTTATCTCAATGTCGCACAAGGAAGTGGAGACGCAGCTAGCCTGCTGTATACAAGTGAAGAAGGGGAGCAGATGTGGGGTGGCTCAGGCCATCATCTAGTTCAAGGAACCCTCAAGGTGAAGCTGAAATGCTTCAGAACAACTGGAGACAGGTCGGAATTCAAGTTCGACATTCAGAAACTGAAGTGAAGGACAAAAATATAAAGCACACCTTCATTACACATCAAATCAGAACGAAGTTAGGGACACTACGTGACATAACCGAGGAAACTTGTGTGGAAGAACATTGGAACTGACTCTGTGGAGGTGATATTCAAGGAAACGTGAACAAATGTTCTATGTAGAAAGAAGAGACAAAACAAGGAATGGCTTTCAATGGATACCTGGAAGCTAATCGAGGAGAGGAGAGGAGGATGGTGAAAGATAAGATGACTCAATGCAAAGATGGACAAAAGAAAGAGAAGCTGAGTTCAATGTACACCGTACTGCACTGAATAAAGACAGGAGTGAAGAAGAGTGCTAGAAATAACAAACGACAATTTCACAACGCACTGATCGGTAAGTGAAGCAGAACAGGTGAGCTGCAGGCAAATGAGACATCAGGACACTACATCAGATAACCAGGTCTCTATCCGAGAAGAGATCAACCCAGATGATGAATCCAATAAAAGATGCTCCAGGGAACTTGATTACCAAGGAGGGGAAACAAATCAAACAATGAATGGGCTGATCACTTCAAGGGACTCTCGAACCGACCATCACCTGCAACTCGCCCAGAAATACCACCAACAGCAGCACAGAATTGCCCACCAGTGGACACAACTTTTCCAACGAAAGAAGAAATCCTGAATGCGATCAAGCTTCTAATCACCGGCAGGGATGGCAGTGGGACCATTACTGCCAAAGGTTTGGAAAGAAGGAAAGTTGCCTGCTGACTGGAAAAAGGAATTGAATATGAGAAAAATTACGCGCGTAGAGTGATGTTAAGATATATCCCTAAATTCATCGGTACCAACAAATAAGTTCTGTTAGTCTGTGGCAATAATTGGTGTTTGTTAGTCAAATATGTAGACAGATGTCTACAAAGTCAAACGTACAAACTTGGATTTCGACTGTTTCATGCTACTATGTACTCACTGGCTGTTATATGAGAAATGCTTCACTTTTTCACCTGTAACCTGATGGTGTTCATTCACACTGGTGTTTTTTTGGGTGGGGGGAGTAGACTTTAACATCATTCCATGTGAACTGGTACATGACAAGTAAAAACGAAACATCAGAACCAAAAATAAATCTTTAATTTTTTGAAAAAAAAAACAGTGATCATGTGCATCTCTGTGCATAGATATACGCACGGACACGCGCACAGACACACAAGTGAGTAAAAAAAATGACAGAATTATGAAATGTACAGTAATAAAAAGACTTCTTTTATTCGCTATCTCCAATTTCACATGTAGTGTATGCATGTCAGCCGGTTGACAAAGAAAAAATTAAGCAGTATCTACACGATAATATTTTTTTAACTCGTGTAATTCTCTTCGTGTGTTGCATTTTTTTTACTTTTAGTAATTCTAAAAGAAAAGTGGAAAGAGAAAATTTTCGGGTCTGCTTTTGACTCTTGTCTTCCACTTGACTATACTTTTTGTTGCGTATTTTTATAGTTCATACACTTTCTTCATTCTATTATATCAAGTGCATTTAAATGCAATAGTAAATAGTTAACAAAATAAAAACCTTGATAACAATCATAATAATAATAATCATAATAAATAGAAATATGTAATAAGTAAGAGTTGAAAGAGTGACTGATTGATGTTCGCTAGTGAATACAACACCGTATACGATTTGATTTGTTCACTTTTAAGATTATCAATAGAATAAGAGAAAAGAAAGCACAAGCCAGTAAGTGAGTGAGTGAGTGAGTGAGTGAATGTAGGAGTGGACAAAGCATATCTATCTCAGTTAATCATATAACATAACAGTCATAATAACAGTAACAATAATAATAATAACAATCCATTCAGGATTCTCCCGATCAGCTTATTTAGTGTTTTATTTATTTACTTCCTCATTGATAATATTTACAACAGAGAAAATCATCTCAACTCCGACTATACAGATACTTTTTTTGTTTCATTAATTTATATTACTAACAAATGCAAATATTTACGGGAATTCCGAATTCCACATTTGGTTTTGTTTTGTTTTGTCCGTCGACGTATATATATATAATTTACATTTCACAAACTGATCAAAACAAAAATGATTGAATAGCGCAGAAGAGAGGGATAAGACGAAAAATTACACATAGGCAATAGTAAGTGTACAAATAAACAAAATAAAATAGCTTGTTCAAAGTTCAATATATATATATATATATATTGATTAAACTCATGTAATTTCTTTTTTTATATCAATACACTTAAGTATAAAAGCTGAAAAATAAACCGTTTCCTCCCCTTCCACTAATATCCTCCGTGTTATTGGCTAAGAAAATTAGGCGAAATAGATTGACCCCTCCTCCTCCTTTGTAGTATCGATTTGATCTGTTTCACCAACTTGTATGGCAATAAAAATAATAAGAGATCAGTAGTTTTGTGAATGATTTCCTTTCACCAGAAATTACATATTTGTTGGATTAAGTATCAGCTAATAGTTAGATAGATAAATGATTCAATGATCTGATCAGTTCATAGGAAAATGACCAGATTGATGAATTTGAGTTTATTCTTTTCCCTTCGTTTAAATAAGCAATGGAAACTTGAATCGATGACACTTCTTCAGAATCAACCAAAAAGAGAACATATATCCCTTTAGGGAGCTGCTGAGTGAGCGAATTCAATTCTTCTTACAACTAGTGTGAAAAATATTGCTACAAGAATCTAGAAAGATGAATTTTTGAAAAACAGAGAGTAGAATTTAAAAAAGAAATGAGATACAGGGTACAAGAGTCTCGATTCTTCCGGTCAAAAGGAGGCTACAGGCAAATGTTGATAAATAATCACAAGAAAATATACATGACGTAATATATATTGGTTCTTTTGATTTTTTTGTTTTGCATTAAGAAAAGAAAAGGTTGATTTATTGAAACATAAGTTGGTGATAAAGAAGAGATAATAAAATTACAAAAGAGTAAAACTGATGATTTATTCGGAGGGGGAAACGGGGTTAAGATTAAGGGAATAAAAAGGTCTAAGTCCATGTTCCTTCTGAACAGATTTGTCGTTTTTTGTTGAAATGAAAGACGTTAAAATTACCACTGATCTTTCATTGACTGGATAAATATATTATATACATTTACTGATCACTTCAGTTATTGTTTCCATCACTGAATACACTAGTCATCGACAGAATGAAACAGAACCGCTTTGACGGCGATTATATCGACCGGTTGGTAGGTTAAGGTTATCTATCTGAGTTGACTGTCTATAGCCAAGATTAGTGTGACTTCGTAGACGATCAAAGTAACTGCCGTTGTTATTAATACTACTGTATGCATTGATCTGCGACCTTCGTTTGTTCTGTAAGCTTATACTGCCACTGACACTACCGATACCAGCAAGTGAGCTGTTATTATTATTCTCGTTATTGATTAATGGTGGTCCCCCGCCGCCGCCACCACCACCACCACCTCCAGCTACACCACCGCCACTTGCATTAGAAGTGGCTACGCCATACTCCAAAGCATACTTTTGTGATCTCAAACGGGCATTTATTCCACGACACCGACATAATAGTATTTCTCTGAATGGCAGACGGAAATCCCGATTGAATATTACATAAATAACTGGATTTATGGTTGAATTAATGTAACCTGGATGTAAACAGAACAAAAAGGGTAGAAAATTTAGTTGACTTAGTAAAAATAAATATTTATCTTCTGGTTATTTTAATGACTTCCATGATTTTATTTGGTTGGTGGAACCCATCAGTGAAGTCTAGGATGAGCATTTCGTTTTATTTGGGTTTCGTCAGTCAGATGTGCCCGCCTCTCCAGGGATTAATTCGTTGTGTTCCACCAACAACCACTTACTATCATGTTGATCTTCAGACGTCGTCTAGGCGTTAGTACCACGATCTAACATGTCAACAGACACCGAGCCTTTTAGTAGAGTATAAGACAATCAGGGGGATATCCAAAAAAAACTAAAAAAAATTAATGACTTTTATTTTGACTTTTCAAATTGTACTCTGTTTCGATTAAAAGTGTTAATTTTGCTTGAAAAAGAACAACATTTGACCATAAATGGACAGTTATTCTCTACAAAAGAAATAACCTCATAGAACTCAGATTATTATCAGCTGAGTTAGTTCCCCTTCAATAACGAAAGGCAAAAAACGTGTAGATTAACTGGCTTCACAGACCTACTTTTTGAATAACTAGGCGGAACGACCGTATTGGAATATTTACAAGACGATCAAACTGTCGATTTCAGGCTTCATACCAAAGTGTGCTTTTCTAATCAGGATACTAGATCAAAGAGTGTATTTATGGGATTCACTACTGTGCAATCCAAACACACTGGGATATAAAGTGTATACTTCCCGTTAGTTTTTGTGCTTACAGTTAATTTACAATAATCCTATGTAACGACAGAAGGCAAGAGTCAGGCAACAGATCATTTATTAAGGAAATCAACGCATATTTATATATTTGCATGTACATTACTATGGATATTTAAGTAAACAAACACAGTCTTCCGATTGGTTGTTTCTCACGTAAAGTTAATCTTTCATCTATTTGTGACTGTTTCTTGAATGTCAAATCCTCTATATGTTAACTGTATCCGCCTACGCAAAGTCTGCTGTGGTCGGTTTTGAATCAATCTTTGTTCACATTTTCTCACGACAAATCTTGGGAACGTAAATATTGACGTCAATTACTGTCTACCAATTTGGCTAGTAGACAGCTCTCACCACACCTAGGCCATAGTGACTGGGTTTTTTGGGGGGGTAGGGTATAGTCATCTAGAATCGATTTCGGCAGCTGACTGAATTGCATATTTAAACAGTGACTAGCCAAGTACTGGATAGTAGTGACAGTTATGATTAAGACTATGGGGTTTCATACCACCTTTATCGGTTCTGCTTATATATATATATATCTTTGTAACATTAAAAGTTATTTGGATAATTATGAAATGTTGACCATAGTGGAGACTTGACTGGTTTGGTTAATTCAAAGGGACTAATCAACGTGATACGCATAACTTCGGGTTATTTCCTGTCATATCTCTATATAACTTTAATTTCTATGCAATATTATTATCATTACGGAGAACTGCAATAAAGTTGCAGCTTATATGATAGCATTGAGCACAAATATGACTTCAATCTGGACAGTATATAATGAGAATAATTTGTTCTGCATGTCTGTTGCATTCATTTTTTACGTTCTTATTGGAAGAAAGGGCTTCAAGTTTAAAATTTGAAATTTCAGTGGCGATGTCGTTTTCTTCGTAGTGGAATTTCTATCCATATGCCAAACCTTCCCTCTCTACCGGGATTACTTTAGGTTGAGAGTGGTTTCGGGTTGTGTGGGCTACAAAGTGAACCTAGACCACATCTATTACGCTGTAATTCAACTAAACAGTGAAGTAATGAAAAACCATTTAGAGTATATTATAATATAGAAATATTCGTTCAATATGTGTGTCTGAATAGAATTAGTCCGTTAAATAAAAATATAATTGCAATAAAAGAATAAGAGAATATTCGTACTTTACTGTGCATTTTTCTTAATCTCCGTTTTAAGTGATTGCAAAATTTTAGTTACTGTAAGATATCGATTTTACAGTTAAATGTTCTATGAATTCCCTTCTCCGTCTAATTTAGGGTTGTCGTTCTTAGTTATTATGACAGCTTGAATGTGTAGGGAGATAACATTTTATTTTATACCCATCATGTTCCTTTGTGTCACTGAACGAGCAATATTCTCCCCTTTGATGGTTGAGGGTCTGTGTAGATTTTATGTAGAGAACCAAGAAGCTATAGAAATGTGTTCAGTCGTAACTTGTGAGTCTTCAAGGATGTGCACCGCCGACTATGCGAAGAATCAACTCTAAAGACTGTTACTTTTATGTGAGGGCGTATCACCATCACTGCTGACTGAGAATACGACAGCCTATGGTCTCCTTCTTCTTCATGATAGAATAATTGCTAGAATCTAGATGTATTCAGATAAAAATTAAATTTACCTGTCATAGAATAAATTGTTTAGATTGAAAATGTAAATGAGTCTTTGATACTGTGAGATTTGCTAAAAACTAATTTTCCATAGAAAACGTATCTGTGGCTGAATTAATTATTTAACTATTTGGCATTTAAAAAAATTTTAAAGTTATCTTTACCCCAGTTAGTATTTAGTTTGGTGCTTGAAATTATTTGGGCTTTTTTGGTGCTACTTCTTCATCACACTGGGTGGTTCTGTCTAACAGAGCCAAAAGAGGAATCTAGGTAAGTTTCTATCCGGCTTGGCATTCAAGTTTTAAATAGCTGGACCTTTGAGAAAGTCGCTTGAATGCCATTACTCAATATTTTTTATTGACTTTACTGTTTGAAAGTCACCTGAATCCATCACTGAGCAAATGGTGTTCCAACTGATACTTTAATTTAGCGTACCCAGTTTCAAACACCAGAGCATTGTCCAATAAGCTAGTGGACCACGATAGCCATCTCGTTTGTTATTTCTCAACTTAATTTTGAATTTCCCATTTATTGTCTTATTGGCCCTAAATGCTCGATCTCTGTTTTCATGTGCAGAATTTCACTGCTAACCATCATGAAACACGTAATGTTGTGTTTATCCTATGGCATCGTCACAGTGTCCGCGTTACGAATGGGCATATCAACAGTGATACAGGCTTTTGGTATAATGAGAAATTCAAAACAACGTCATCAAATAACATTATTTTTGAAATTTACATTGCTTGTGATCATTCTTAGGAATTTTATATAAATATTTTTAACTTCTGAAGTATTAACTTTCTTTGCTTTGATTAATAACATTTTCTTCTATGTAAACTCGCTAACTATATAACAGTCACTAGCCGGTAATTTTACAATAATAAAATCTAACCGATTGACGGACAATAACTGTCTAGGAAAGCGTGCAACTAAATACTTCCCGGATAATTCTGCTCACTAGTCTTACATAAACATTTTTGGTTTATTTCAAACTAGGCAGATCACTTCCTTACAGTATTCTTACCAGTTTTTCAAAACATCCCTTCAGAACTGCTAATAATTTACGGCTATACTAGTAATTGTGTGGTTAGTCAAAGCCATTCAGACTGTGTGCTGGAATGACTGTCATTATGTCGACTGTTCCAAATGAATGTGTAAATATAGGCAAACAGTGTTTGGGTGAATTTTAGAAAACTGTTTTTTAATTGTAGTATATCTGAATTGGTAAAGGATGGAATTGATCATAACAAATGAAGTAATGACTTACCTAACCAAAGGAATATACTTCTCACCACATCAGGGACTTCAAGATTACGTCCAGTTGTCACTTTGATTATCGGATCAACAAGCTGGATCGGATGAAAGAACAGGAAGAAAATAGAAGAGACAAAATTAGCTCAACTTGTAAATAAGCCAGAGAATTTACTTTAAATACGGTTAAAAATTAGTCAGCTGGGTCCCGATTTTACAAATAAAGTGGGACCAAAAATACTACCTCGGGATAGAAAAAAAATTCAACTCGAATGAATTCTTTTACAAATTGATTTTAAATAATGTTTTTGCTACAGTGACTAGTCTAGCGTGATTGCAAAATGTTTTACCGATATACAACCTACGGTCACGAATCAGTTGTTAATGAAAACCTTACAACTATTATTACTTTAAACAAATGCTCACAAAGCCAACTTCTAGTAGTCATCCAAACGCAATTCGATTTGTAAATACCTCTGTGTATCAGTTATTCAAGAGATTCAAAATGATCAATATTATATAAGAACTGTCTTAGCTTCACTAAATATTCTTATTACGTATACATGCAATACTTTGATACAGTCAACAAAATGTTAGACGCTACTTCAACTTCAGCTTAAGTATATTTTTACTTAACTCACAGGACAATACTATCCTGTTAGATAGCAAAAGTCCAATATTTTTGATGAGATTCACTTTCGAGAGATAAAATATTTTATTCCAGCATTTGATGCAAAACCATAGATTTGTGCGCTAAGAGATATACAAAATAGGGTAATATTTCTTCACACTAACTGCCAGTAAGACTGATCACAGATTGTTAAAACTTCTATGACTCAGATTTCTTAAGTGTTTTTTCCCTGGAAATTCGTCTTGTTTTACGGATGGACAAAAGATAAGACAAAAAACATTGTTGCACTATTTGATGTAGTGAAATTTAAACATTCCTGAAAAGTTTCTTGTCTATTGCATCGTCTACCACCTACCTTTGTAGTCTATGATCAGTCAACGAAAAGAAGTTCTCTTGTTAACTTTATGCATGTATTTTATGTCCAGTGCAAAAATATTCTTCAGGGAATAATAATTTAAACTGTTTCATGACAATTTTAGGTTTTTAATAAGTAGCATAGTGTAAAAAGCATTTTCTTTCCTTCTAAATGAGTCTAGCTGTTAATAAAACAAAACTATGATTATTCCCACTGGGAATCTTTCTGACTCATTTCTGATATCTGAATTTCTCGAGGGTTAAATTTTCGTGAATTGTCATTAAGCCACCAGACATTCTTTGAAAAGTCTATAGCTAAAGTTAGATAACTTTTTCCAAAGATGTGATTTTGGTCCTAAGAGAGGGAACTTCACCGATATTTCAGTCATTGAATCCAGCCAGGAGCATCAACTTTGACCAAATCGTTTACTAGCTTGTATGGATTTCATTCTGACTGCTTTATTGTTATCGTATAGTCTCTCGTACTGTAATTTACTCAGTGTATCTGCTCAACCAGCGTAACCCTCGAGGGAACTGAACAGCACATATACTCAAGACGGCGGCAATTACCACGATAAGTCAATAGAATATTGGTAACAAATAACTCTTATAAAAATTACTTTTCTGGAGACAAGTAAAATTATTATTTTGTTTGTCCAAATAGGCCAGGACATGAGTACTAGATTTAATTATCCCAGTAACAACATTCTACCTAGGAAAGTGCTTGTTTTCAAGCTTTTACTCATCCGTCTAAATAGAATAATTCACAGGGTAGTAAGAGAAATATATTGTGCTTACAGGGTTTTAAATAGTGCAGTGATGTCCAAATAACAAACTAACTTGTAAAAGTAGAATTCCACTAGCTATACATTGATACTTTATCATGCATATAATTAGTGATGGTTACAAAAACAACAGAGAAGACATTGAAAAACGCATTTAGCAGTGGGGTAGGGGTTTGAGATTAATTTAAGTTGTAGATATTTGATTCTAAACATGTTTCTAACAGCTTTTAAGTGTAGTTAAACTATAAAGTGATAACAGAAGCTGAAGTCAAATGCGTAGATTAATAGTCCACGAAGGTCGGTTAGTCAATAAATATGTATATCTTATGGGTTTAAAATGGTCAAAAAGTATTTATCATTTCCTTGATAATTTCATGTTCTGCGCTGACGCAATGTGAAGGTTATTATTTCTTCAAGCCTTCATTATTAAACACTTAAGGAAACAGACGCATTTAATAGTTGTTCAGTTCCCAAACTATAGAAAACGACTGTTAAAACTTCCTAGCTTTTACAAATTCAAAGGATACAGTCTAGTTTTTTAATTGTATGTGTGTAAGTACTTCATAGTAATTATTTTCACACAGAATCTGTTGTGAATTTTATTTGGACTTAACTTGAAACCAGTTATTATCTCAAGTGTTTTGCATACTTTCTATTTAGAAAAATATCCTGTTCCGATTCCGGAGCTGGGACACAAAGTGACTAGGCTAGCCGCCGTTTCCTGTTTTTGTCAAGTCGACTGCTGCTATGGAGCTAGTTATACTGTTCATTACTTTGAAGGCTTGATTTTTCGTGCTCCAGGACAGTCAACAGTGTGATCGAATAAAGGTGTAGTAGGAAGCATTAAGAGTTCGATACTAGAATGCCTGATTGAAACATGTCAGTTTTCAAGAATCTTTTTCTAAAGTCTGTCGAGTACTAAATAAACTACCAAAGGAATCGAATACCCCAAACAGCAGGAGCCGTAGAAATTTGCTTAAAACAGCTGGAACTTTGTGTACAAAAACAGTTCATCTGTTAATTATCTCCTTACCTGTTGTGAAGTCTATGACTTCATCCCTATTCTACTATGTCGTACACACGTTTTAAATATGACCTCCCATGCTGTATGTAACAGTTCAAGCCATACAGCATTCATTATTGCACTTAAACCCACGAAGCTCTTACTTTCTTAATTTACCTGCTATTCAGTTTAGTGTTTTACCTATGCATATTATCACATCTACATATTTTATACTGTAATCTACTGATCTTAATAATTCCGTGATTTTAAAAAACAGTGTTGTCCTTTACTACTATTCCTCAACTACTATGGATATATAAACTTAAAACCTGATGATGAAGTCAGCTGAAAGATCATTTTCTTTGTTAACTAATCAGTCTTCTAAAAAAATGCATATACCTCTATCATGACTACTGAGCAATGATCTACAATGATAAAGTGTTGGAGGAATATGAGTTGTGTTTCATATGTAGGTCAGCACACCCTATTTATGTATTCTACAAAAAGACACAACATGAGATGTAAAGAAAATAAAGTTTTCTATTGACTGATAACTGTGAAACAACCTGAGGCGCAGTGCACTATCACTGCCTATTATTTCAACTACCTGCACATTTTATTAATGGATTTTTTTCTTATTAGCACTCAACATTAGATATTGAGCTCAATTATCATTCAGACATCAGTGTGCGTAGAGTAACTGGTTCTACAATAATTCATTGGGGACATGAAAAGCTTAGTGGTAAATTACCTGACTTTGAAAATGGGGTGAGGTGAAAAGAAATGTATAAGTTTTATGAATGGCTGCTGTCGTAGGCTGAAAAGCCAAAAAAAGTTAGGGATAAGATTTCCAGTCAGATGACTCCTAATTTATGATACTAAGCGAGGTTTATTCCACTACAATATCATTTAAGTTGCAGGCTACATTGTAAATCTCAATGGCAGGTTGTGAAGCACGTTAAGAATAAATCAGTGAAATTGGTAAGTACTCTGTACAGTTCGAGTGGATTCAGATTATCCCGTATTCACACACACTTTCTGTCTTAAAAGTTACTAGGTGAATTGCATTTCTCTTCAGGAATGTATAGTCTCAGATACGAAATTATCTCAGAATTGAAAACAAAAATAAGAGTTATTGAAAAAAATACACACACAAATAAGTAATTTATCAATTCCTAATTTTTAAGTTTTTATATAATATTTAAAATCATCACAGGCACATATATACGCTCGTCTACATCATACTGACACACATACACATACAGACAAACAGACACTTACGTCACCAGGTATCGTCATAGTAACCTAGTCATTTTTTCTTCAACTCATAAGTTGAATAGCATGAAACAAACACACAATGGAATGGATAAATAAAAGAGTTAAGAACAAATTAGAGCTTAAAGTACTTGAGATTACAAGAGGGTTTCATACAGTAAGCAGTTAATTATTTATATATGTATATATATATATATATATATATATATATATATATATATATATATGGAGAGGGAATCATAGATATGTAGCAAAAGTCTATCTGGAAAGCTTAGCTCTTAATCGATATAAATGAAAATGAAAAAGGTTCTAGATATATAGAATAAGAATTTGGGCACTGCGATAAAATATAATTCTATATTAGATAAGTTTATTTTTGATTGCACGCTAGTCAGTAAGTAGTGTAATGCGTCTAGTCCTATCTTCGGTGCAGACTGAATTCTACCAGTCATGTTTGCAATGTGGCCACCATGCTAGGTGGCTCGCCATTACGGTGCACTGGGAATTGTTGGTATTAGATGGTTGGAGGCAATCGGCAGGAAGCCTTGGACCTAGGTTTCGTGCTAGTTGGCACTCATCAGCAAGGCGTAATGGCGAGCCACCTAGCATGGTGGCCACATTGCAAACATGACTGGTAGAATTCAGTCTGCACCGAAGATAGGACTAGACGCATTACACTAGTTACTGACTAGTGTGCAATCAAAAATATCCAATACAGTCCTACAGGAGGTCAGTCGCGAGCCTGAATAGCTCAGTGGTAACGTCTCTGACTGCAGCACTGGGTGACGCGGGTTCGAATCTCAAAAGGGACATCAGTTCCTTCAAGGCTGCAGATACGCCTTGCTGATGAGTGCCAACTAGCACGAAACCTAGGTCTAGCAAGGCTTCCTGCCGATTGCCTCCAACCATCTAATACCAACAATTAGATAAGTTTACTTGATATGACATAAAGTGATATAGTGTTAATATGTGGCTGACGTTTTGAGCACAGTTTAATGCTCATCATCCTGACTTCCTTTATGTAGCCCTGGAAATGACGCAACACCCGAC